ATTTATAAATTTGAATTTTTCTGAGTGCAAAACAATAATAATTATGAATGGCATATATAGACATGATGAAACGTGATCATACACAATGGAGTTAAATTATTTCAATCACTAAAACGATTTTATAAATCTCATCATAAAACTAATTTCATGCGTTCTGATTTAGAATTGTTTTGTTTAATTCCGCTACCAATTAGTATGTGTGTGACTGCCAACATTCGAGTATTGACCACCACTGTTACTACCAAAATGTACAAATATAAATAATTCTAATCTAACTATCTAATATTATATATATAAACTTTTTCAAAATAACGCTTAGTTCATGTAAATTGAGTCTAAAGAAGACTTCTTAAAAAAAGAAGGTTTTTATTTGAGAAGGATCTAAGGAATAAGGTTACTATTTGACTTTATACAAAAGTTGATTGCTTGGGTACTTCTGCCCCATTCGTGTTACAACCGTGAAGCTGTTGTGTTTGCATGGCTGTGTTTCGGTTTGAAGGGTGGGATATGGCGTGAATTTACTGGGTACAGAGGAATAACACCTGAGTCCTTAGGAATGGCAACGCATGGGGGGTATCATGGGCGAAACAGTATACTCTGTTATGTCCATGGTACTGCTCATGTGTATAGGCGACGGTTACCACTTTCCATCAGGTGGGCCATCAGCTTGTTTGCCATTCTAAGTTGTATAAAAAAAAACATTATCTCTGTCACGAACGAAGTCACGGGTAAAAACTAGTACAAACGAAATAAAATAAAAATGGCGCTCAGAAATGCCTTCAATAAAGATATGACTTTTAGCGTAACAACAAGGCAAATCACTTTTATTGAAGAACTGAACGAGGAAAACTCGAAGTCATAACAAATGTCGACTTTGACTAGCAGTAACTCAAGATTATGATCATTAGGTTACGTAGGATATATTGGCAAAAGATTTGATTGAAATATTCAAATGTGTTGTTATTTTACTATTGCCATTTTATTTGTATGTATCTGTGGATAGTAATATCTTTTTCGGTTTTGCTATTGGCGTTTAGTAATAAAATATAGATATTATCTGATCTGTGGTAATAAAGTTTCCTTTTGGTAATAAAAACACAAATCTGTAGTATGTATAAATACACAAAAAGCATAGTCGATTTGAGAACCTTCACTAGGCGTGTGTGCGTGCGTGCGTGCATGCTACGTGCGTGTGGGTTGTGTTGCCTAAGTTCAATGCACACACGAGGGGTCTTCTTTACACTCGTCAGATGATGAGGGCAGACAAGCTAGGGGCCTCGAGTCGAGCCTCATTGCCCCGGCATCTTCTCCGGAGGCTACTGCCTCCGGGTTACTGGGTTTTAAGTCGACATACATTGATGGTATATGTATGTTGACGTGGCATCTTCTTAAATGATGATGGCGGCTGTATGGGAGGTTCCTCACTCTATTCTCGTATACTGTTTTTTTTTTACTTCTGGGACTCTTGTCTAAGATCAAAGTATAGAGTTCAATGCTTATCCTATTCCAAAAAATGTCTAACGTGCTTAAAGCAATTTTTACTTCAATAATTGGAATTGTCACTTTTGTATATTAATACATTTTTGGAGCATGGACAAGACAATATAGCAACAATTTATCACACTTAACTTGAATTGAGAAACAAAAGAGTTTCCGATTCATAAAACCGAATGCCTCTGTTTGCTCTGATATGTGAATCACCAGGTCCAAAATACCCTGTCAGCTTTTACGAGGCAACGCGTGAGCAAAGATCGTGTTACGTCAGTAAATTGTATTTACTTAATGCAGTAAAACGTGAATTTTACTACGGTATTTTAGTGTGGATGAAACGAAATTTTATGTTAAACATGCTACGTTGGGTCTGTTCCCTTTGAGACGTACTTCGACATATAGATATGTTGGGCGCATAAAATTTATATAGTAAAACACACAATTTACTTTTGCATGTTTTATAAATTTATAGTGTTGATATATGTACTAGCATTGTATAAAATAACCTATTCTTTAGACATAGACATTTAAACCACGAAGGTAGTAAACAAGCATAGAACCCGTCTGATTGTAAACGGTCACTATAGTCTCTGTCAAGACGGGGTTATCCCATACTATAGTCTCTACGGAAAACCTCAATTTATTTTTATTTTATTTATTTATTCATTAAAAATAATTACAACACTATAACGGCAAATCAATCTTATAAATCAAGTGTGCTAACAAACAAAATTATAATAAATGTATTTAACCCGATTCCAGATATGTCTGAGCCTCTTCTAATATCTTTGGCAGGCTACTACTAAATATATCAATGATGTTTATAATATTATTTAATAACCGTACTGTGTAAGTCAAGGCAGTCTGCTGAAGAAGTTTAGTTCTTGGGATTTGGAGCTTAATTAGGAGCTCATTCCATAACCTGAGCGTTTACAGTAGAAAATTCCTCTGAAATCGCATTGTATGCTACTTTTTAGTTATTAGCATGTGAGGATGAATTCTCTGTCGATGGTGATGGGGTGCGATGATAAAATTTAACTGTGAGCATTATTTCGAATAGTTCCTCAGAACATAACCCATTCTACAAGCGATAGAATACAGGAAGGCAGGCAAAGTCTCGCCGTAGACTTAAGTGTTCGATAACAGCAGTGAACTTGGGATTTCATAGCCCGTCTTTGAACCAACTTAAGTAGACCGAGCTATTAACTTCTTCTCTGTTGTAATTTAAGATGAAGATTTGGATTGACTAGTTTTTACTTACTTTACTTACTAGATTAGACAAATATAATAAAATATATAATAAAAACTAGTCAAGCCAAATCTTGAGCTTGAATTACATCCGAAATGAAATAAATGCATTGTGTAAATGTCTGTTAAAATTTAAGATATTATAAATACCTATTAAGTAGCAAACCTGGTAGTAGTTCCAAGAAATGGTTGTATAAATTCATTTTATAATAATTACATGTTCTTCTAACTTGTAAATTTTAAGATTTTCTACACAAAACTTTGCTCTTATATAAAGCTCAATTGAATTTTCGGAAACATAAGTCGAAACAACGCATATTCTCAATACTGATATTGGCTCTCACTGCACATTTATGTTTTTGACAAACTTGTATTTTTTTATTATTTTTAACCTGTCTTTTTATTTCATCATCAGACTGAGAACGTAATTATTTTATAAGTTACTTCTTTAAAGTTTAAAAAACAAAAATCTTCGTCTAAATGTTCGTTTATTGACAAACGACTAAACATTACATTCAATATTTGAAATACACCATAATGAGTTCAATATTTTATAGCAATTTATTGGAGTAGAAGGTAGCACGAAAATGCGGGTTATTAGTTATTTTGAATTATTCCCCAACAAAGATTTGTAAGCGTTTGACATTTTCCAAAAGATATTTCATGAATAAAACATACACATTTCTATATCGAATGAATTATAACAAATATTGAACTCTATTTAACATGGAGAGAGCACAATTTCCACTAAACACAACGCAATTACCTGAAATACGGTATCCGTAGATACGGCCTTTCATCTTACTCAATAAGCGCTCATTTTAGAAAATTATTACTTTGATTAATAAAATTATTATTAGTACAAGAAAGTAGATTATTAAATACCATCATCTTTTTAAGTGTTTAATAATATTCTCTTGTCGATTCCAATAACTCGTGTCAGTTATTAAGTAAAAAAATTGTCTATGATTAAGTTGAAAACTCATAATTATTTTGTATTAAACTATTTCGGTGGGATGTCTTTTTATTATAGTATTTTTTTGTAAATTAATGACAATTGTAACCAATTAGGTATTTGTAAATAAAACTTTTTTATATTCATCCTCATCATATCGGCCGTTAACTGTCTACTGCTGGACATGGGCCTCCCGCATAAGGGGAGTTTTGCCTGTAGTTGCGACGCTGGGCAGGGATGGCAACGCCAATTAGGCTTTTGGTTATATATTAAAAGGGACAATGCTGCTTATCCTTTGATCATTAAGTTCCTTTAGTCACCTCTTACGACATCAACGGAGAGCTAAGGGGTAATCCATTCTATGCTACGACCACACGGCAATTATTTTACATATTAATTACTATATATTTAATTTCTATCACGTATGAATATATACTGTTACTATGTAACAACATTAACTGCAGTCTACGACTTTTTCTGGATAAATCAGTATAATTTATACGTATTAATCTAACATTTTTCCTTACTGCTTGAGGTGACATTGAAAACAGTATATTCTACCCATCAGTCTAGACCTATAACTTTATAGAACAATAAAGCTCGCCAATATAGAAGCAGATTGTAGATTGTAAGAGTTCTACTACCTACTTTTAAGTGCAAATTACTTCATTCCGGGCTCTAAATGCGGCGATAAACCAGTTTATTGAAAAGGCTATTACGGGCCGGATTGAGATTAGAGTGTTTCAGAAAGATACAATACAATAAAATGAATGAACGAGACACCAGCTGTTTAAAATAAGTAATAATTATACTGTTATAGGGGGTTCCACAAGGTAAATTATAGGCCCCGTTCCCAAATACGTATTTAAACATGTTTTTAGTAAAGATATTATTATTAAAATCGATTTTTTTTATACAACTTAGAATGGCAAACAAGCTGACGGCCCACCTGATGGAAAGTGGTAACCGTCGACTATAGACATGAGCTGTACCATGGACATAACAGAATATAGTGTTTCGCCCATGCTACCCCCCATGCGTTGCCATTCCTGAGGACTCAGATGTTATTCCTCTGTACCCTGTAAATTCACACCATATCCCACCCTTCAAACCGAAACACAGCCATGCAAACACAACTGCTTCACGGTAGAAACAGGAATGGGACAGAGGTACCCAAGCAATCGACTTTTGTACAAAGTATATATTGGAGTAAAACTTTATTTTTTGTTCCAAATGCAGACTTTAGCATATTATACTAAACTACTATCATGCTACTTAACGCAGTACTTAAAATTTAAAAACTTACACGATTTTCTTTTTTCTTCGCTAGAATACGAACTGAAAGTATCTGTAACAAAATAATTGTAAAATTAATTAGATTTATATATGATTGCGAAAAAGAAAAACACTTAATTAGATACAATAAACGAATGAACATAATTTCGTACCTTATTAATATTACATACATGCACATTAGACATATCTGTCTTCCATTGTAGTAAGCAGAAACAATGGAATGCCAAGTGCTCTGATTCAAACAGACCTCTTTCGTTTCTTCACATTCATCAATCTACTCAAACACGCTCGCTGGTTATTTATTTATTTATTCATTAGTACAAATATGTGTACATGGCGGACTTAACGCTAAAAGCATTCTCTCCCAGGCAACCATAGGGAAGTGTCAGAATACTCGAATGCGGTACTACTAATTTTTGATATACATACATACTAAAATTACATATATAAACGAATAAATATATATGAATAACAAATATACTTACACATATATGATATATACTATATTATACACGAAATTGAGAATAATATAAAGCACTTACTATGGGTACTTTTAATTTAGCCCTTCTTTAGCCACATCGTCTGTTTAGTCGGCATTTGTCCATCTAGGGTGGCCCTATCGACGTCTCCATTCATTTGTATTTTATTTAAACTTTATGGACCAATAAAATGTGGTACAGAATGCGGACTTATTGCTACAGGATCGTCTATTAATCAATCGTTAGGATGTGCAGAGCCACTCTATTTACTAATTCTTCTTTCATCCATCCTCTACAAATACTCAAACCAACGCAACATTCCCTTTTCAATCCTTACCACTATTTCATTTTTCAGTTCACTCTTTCTTATATCACTCTATATTATCTAATATTATAAATGTAAAAGTCAGTTTGTTTGTTTTTTTCTCCTTGGCGCTTTCACAGCTCAAACAATCGACATCCAATTTACAAATACCAAATAAGTATTTGGAATGGAAAAGGAGATAGACAATTTATCTCGGTCAATTAACAGACTACAGTCACACGGACAAAGTTACGGGTTAAAGCTAGTATGATGTGTATATGTTTGTTGGAATAGAACTCTTACGGAAAACAGCTCGCCTGTTGTACATTTTTATACAAAATAAATAACAGCAATGTAATTTTTGTGTACATCAAAGAGTAAATAAAATAAATATGTAAATACACAGGAAGTAAAATAGAAGGAAGAAAAGAGGAAGAGAAAATCAAGACAGTTACATCAGGTAGATTAAGGAAAAACTTCGAGTCATGTCGCATCAAAAATTAAAGGGACTCATCGAAAAATGTGCTGAGAGGCAACAGTTTGATAAGAATACGACACTTAAAATCTTTACTAATATTGTAAATGTTAAAGTAAGTTTTTTTGGTTGTTTATTTATTATTTCTTAGCATCTTAACTGTTTCAAAAAAAGGAATGAAATTTGATATATACGAACTACATAAGATGGAGAAGGACGTAAGATAGTTTTTTCCTGGCCAGTGAACATTGACCTGTTTGCAGAATGTGTCCATATTCTGGGGGTCTACCATAAAATGAAATCCCGAATTTTCGGGCTCAATTTCGTGTTTTCGTCCATACCTTCGAACCTTAACATTCCGTTTGTCATATATCCTACCATAAAAGTCCAAAGGAACGATCTGTGCATCTATATATATATATATTGATGCACAGACAAATATATTTACACATGTACAAGATATTTTTTTTATAATTTCAACCGTTTACTCTCCACTGCTGAAGGCTTTTAGACATGTTTCAAAAGGGACGCTGCCGCCCATCCCTTGCCCTCCCTTAGTCGACTCTTACGACATTCACGGGAAAGGAAGAGGTGGCCTATTCTATGCCGGGATCACACGGCGATATATATACATAGATAAAAAGATATACAAGATATACTATGTTATATATGGAAATAAGAACAGCAGCTCGGATATAGTATGGAAATGGACATGAATCTTTTTTGTGACTTCAAAATTAAGAAGGATCTTGATTCGCTTGTATTTTTTTATATTTGTTACCTCATAACTCCGTCAGTTGTGAACCTATTTACAAAATTGTTTTCTCATCCTATTAGGATATACTTACAAGAAGACCACAATAGAAATTTTATTAAAATCAGTATAGTAATTTAGTTTTCAAAATAGACACAGTAGATTATGTAAAAGATTTTTTTTTATTTAGAGGCTTTATGCCATAGATGAAATCGGTTTAATTTTTGTGAAACATAATCATAATTAATTTAATAAGTGTTCAGATGGAAGTCTCACCGTCATGGGTCGTTGGTGCATATACTGAGTTATCACATTTAGTACATCTAAATTGGTATATGTTGTACGACGTAATCCAAATTGGATGGTACAAGTTTATTTTGAATTAATTAATTCCAAGTTAACAGCTGTCGACGGATTCAACACTGAGCTGACAAAATTAACACTAATCTACTGTTTGTAACAAATGGAGCAACCATTGTTTTATTTGATGCAATTTTATTTAGGACTAGCGGCCCGTCCCCGCTTCGCACGAGTGGACATTTTTACAACATTTTAAAAACTGGTTATTGTGACATAACGATAATAGTTGGACATCAAGTGTCGAGAAGTTTTTTGTAGTTGTTGATGTTTTCTTCAATATTGTAAAACATACTTTTGTTCTGTCACCAATAGTTTCCGCAGAGCACGCGACGAAAGTTATTTTATAGCATTTTTTTGACATCTTGAGTTGCGTTACTAAAGTTTTAGTAAGGATCCCTAATCTTTTCTAGCAATAAATATAGCCTATATTACTCAGGGTGAATGTAACTTTCTAATGGTGAAAGCATTTTTGAAATCGGCAAAATAGTTTTTGAGTTTATTCATTACAAACGTACATACACACAAAAATACAAATCTTTCCTCTTTATAATATTAGTTTTCTTTAGGAAGTGCTACATCAGTGTAGTTAGTTAATTTTGTTATATGCATTATATTTTATATTTGTGAGAAATATTTTTGCATCATTAAAACGTTCAACGTGAAAGCTTTCTTTTGATATTTTAAATTTAACTCGACTATTGTATAAAGAAGTAATATATTTTTGTATTTTATTTAATTTAATCATAATATTTTGTCGTAATTTTAACGTTCATTAGTTTCTTTAAAGTTTTCTCTTTATTTAATATGAAAATACATTTACTTGCTTAAACATGAGTAGATGTTACATAGACATTTAAATAATTATACAAATAGAGCCAACATGCTTTGAAGATAGCAGTGTGCAAACATTTTTAGAGAACAAATAGTGCTTCTAAATTTAGTTACTTTTATATTCGTGATATACAACTGTACCAATATAAAGAGAAAGGAGTTAATTGTTTGTTTGTCTATGATAAATAAACCGAAAAACTACTCAATCGATTTTAAAAAATCTTTCCCCAACGAGTGCTGATAATATAGCTTTCTATAACTCTGGCTATATGTTATATATATATATATATATATATATATATATATATATATAATGAAGTCTTGTCACATTTTTTAAGATAAGTATGTTTCATTCTTATTTTGCATACTCTTTCCACCGGTATGTTTAAACTTTTATAATATAATAAAAATGATGTACTTTATTTTATTATTACCTACCTATTCAAGGCATTCCATTTAATAAGTATATTAACATGGATTTTTTTTTAATGAATGAAAATGGAATAGTAACCTCGCCTGCGCCGATAAACTGGCGGGGCACCAGTAAGGAATGATAGGTGAATATGAAGCAGATCAGTTGTCCCATCGTGATGAATTCATTAAGAATTAAACACGATGGTTTTCGTGGGAACCGCGTGGAGGTCGACCTGTAGTAATAGGTTTGTTGGATCTCATTATTAACAATCCCTGTCCCCATATTAACATGGATTAGCAATATTTACCCATCCGCAATTTTACAGCAGTGTTTATTTTGAAAATATAATAATATTGAGTTTGAATTGTACAAGGACTAAAAATGTATGTAAAATTTCATCAAAACCAATTAGTAGGAATTAAACAAACTACCAAATATTGCAAATTAAATAAATGCTTGTAAAATACAAGCAATCAAGACCTCGGTCATGGTCTATATTGAGCAGTGGACAGATAACTGCTGTCACGACGATGGTAGCTAGATAGACAGATACTCTTTATTATTTCCTCCAAAAGATTACAGTACTAAACTTATGTATTGTATTTTTTTTTTTATCTTTTTGCACTGTGCATTTATGTCTATTGTTGTTTGTGTGCTGTAAGTAATGCAAATAAATTATTTATCTATCTATTAATCTTATTATAAATATAAACAATTACAAGAAATAATCACAATGAGAAAACAATGGGCGACCTTATCGCTAAGAGCGATCTCTTCCAGGCTACCTTTGGATGGAGAGGAGTAATTATAGTGATGATGTTTCAAGACCTTATTTACTTTAACAGTTCTCGTTTTAACAAAAACAACAATTTTAACTTCATTAAATGGTTCAGTAATTAGAAAGAAAGAAAGAAAAAGGAAAGAAAGAAAGACAAAAAACTTTATTCTACAGAAATATGCGGCTACAACCACACAGGGGTTAAAAAAACATATCAAGAATTATAACAACGCAACTACACACAATATTTATATATATAAAAAATAAAGAAATTTAAAAAAATTATAATAAAAATAACGCCATTTTCATGTTCAATCTCATTTCCTTTTACATTTTGATTACTCCATGTCGTGGTATCTAATTGTTCATCAGCTAATTGTGACATACGTACAGTAATAATGTATGTATAATTTCGACACGTTGTACACAAATGACACGAATCCAGTGAAACCGTTTTTTTTTTTCGTCAGACCCACCAAATCGTATTATAATGAAAATTTAATGATATCTACTCGTACATTACAGCGAACGTGCATGCAATCGTAAGAAACCAAGTTTTACAACACGTTTTTTGGAGTGATACGTAAATGCTATGGTGTTACATAGCTGTTGCGAAAGGGTAAATTTGGTAGAGTTTTATTTAAATGATCCATTTT